CTAATAACTTGGGGAATCATGTTTCCCCAAAGAAGAAACACAGAAATCATTCTATCATCCGAAATGCTACGGACAGATGAGCGGATATAACGAAGGACACAAAGTACAATGTACTCACGCAGATTGGCCATCAGTGTGGACAAGCACAAACGAACCACACAGAGCGGAAATGTGATCAAATTGGTGAGATCGATAATTTGAACGGCCGTAATTTCCACGTGTTTATCTGAACAAATGAGGGAATGAAATGGAAAGGTAAGTGGCTACAATTAAATGACGAAGATCAGAATATGGTAAACCGTTGACCNCCCTGCCAGTCTAGTGCAGTAGTAATTCTGCACGCATACAGTGAAAGGTGCTAATTGAAAGAGCTAACCGAATTTAGCAAGCGGACGAACATTGACCAGTTTCTCTAACTCGTTTTCCCTCTCTACCAAACTGTGGATGCTGAAGTCATCCTCAAAAATCCAAGTTCAGTTTTATTTACTAATCCATGCTCGGCAATTTGCATCCGCATAGCGGAAAGGCATTTGTCGAATCGAATGCCCAAGCACTTTGTGAAATTGGTGGAGAGTAGGTTCAGTGATGACATCATCAGACAGACAAACAGACAAAACGACCGGACGTCATTGATTGGGCAGTATCGTAGAGAGAGGAGTGATGACGCAATGACACCAAAGGTGCCGATCACTACCATTTCAGTGATCCAAACATGCCGCGGTCGGGGGGCCTAGGAATCAGCGTATACGATGGTGAGAGATACTAAATGATATACCTGAGTGTCGTACGTCTTCGCAGTCGAACTGTAACTTTGGTCCATCAGAAGTCTGTGTTTACCTTGATGTTGCTTGCTACATTCTAATCTCCCCTCTACACCTTCATCCTTTAGCCAAAAGACGCAAAACCAAAAAAACGACACGACAGGTTGAATAAATTGAAACCAAAAGTGATGAAAAGATTTCTGATTTGCCGACAAAGCGCCTCGAACAACTGTTTCATCCTGGTTGTGACTTATCAGCAGTGCGTGTATTTTGTGACCCTGAACTGAAAACATTCGGGTCGGGCGTTCAAACAAACTGAGCTATACAGTCGACGGTCATCACCTTGTGTGAACGGCTCAATCAATTTACACGATGAATGTTTGGTTTAGTTCATTTTTCTCACGGGCACCAAGCACTGTTGAAACCCACAACCAAGGCGATTAGTAGTGCCTGGTACCTGTGAAAAATCGAATGAATTATTCCAAATTTACTAATCTAAATCGCGCAATGAGTATGGCTAGTCACTTTGGTCTATTCTGGGCAGCGAACTACTTACTGTGACGATAAGCACATGAAACTCTTGATTCGGTTCATTTTTCATTTTTGTGCCTACAGAAACGCTTTCACCGACTGTGGTCTGCATAGGCGTACACGTTGCGAAATGATGCCGGAATGGTAAGCACACAGACACAGGAAATCCTCCCAAAATGATTGAGAGCAACGTAACAGATGTTATACAGGCAAAATAATGAGAGACAGAGAGAGCGGGAGGAGAGTGGATTTGACCGAGCAGAAGCAGAAGCACGCGCAGGAGTGGCCAATCGGATGAGAGAGAGAGAGAGAGAAAAGCGTAGCAAAATCCCCGGTTGTACGAGGTTCAAAGTCCTAGACAGACGATTCACTTACTTTTGGCACGCTGACTCCCTTCCATGAGACAAAACACATGCACCCGGCCATCGTTTGTCAATGTGGTGAACAGGTCTTGATGACAGTCTACGAGGAGCGGATCTGCCGAGCCCCGGATCGCATGTCGGATGAGAAACTGATCATCCAAACGCTGCTCACAGGGATACATACGTACCTACGGGAGCGCAATGAGAAGGAAGTTTCAGAAAGATCGAAACAGAGAAAAACGTCAACAGAATGATATAGAGCAAACGTTTAAACAACCTCTAAAGTGTAAGACCAAATTCAAAGAGAAACGATACATTCGAGCGAAATACGTGGATGAGTTGGGCTAAAGTGAAGGGGAACAACAGACTATGAGCAATCTGTGAGCGCCAGCAAATCGGACAAGTGTGCCAGAAAGGGTCAGCAAACGTAGGCGAGCACGGCTGGTGACCGGCGGGAGCTAAATACGTTCGATCAAGCCAATCTGATTGGTCAATAAACAATCCAGCCAGTCACCCAACGACCGAATGGAAAAGCTATCCAAACAAGGTCACACTCTTATCGGCAGATTGATCAAAAATGTACAGATTGGTCTTTTGAAATGATCCATATTAGACTTAGCTTTCGTGGTCAGGTTTGGAATATTATCCACCGAGTCCTGATCTTGAAGGCTAGCGGAGATGCGGAGATGAGCGAAGTTTGATCCCCACAATCCGTATGCAGAGAGGAGTTGTGTAAAATCACATAGATAAAACCGGCCTGGTCAAGCTAACCCATGGTCATCTGGGTGAGATACTTGCGTTCTGTGTGTGTGAGATGCCGGGTGCAATCCTGAATTGAGTGGATGCATTCGTCCTGTTGATGAGGCTCACATAGGTCGAAACATCTGGTTTTCTTAGATTTTCAATTCAAACTTTGTTGGATCTGTACATGACTCAAATTCATCATAGAACCAAGTGAAACTCTTAACTACTTTTAGGTAACCGATTTCTTTTGGAACGCTAGATAAAACGCCATTATATGAGGATTAGGTTAATCGGGCTCTGAACCCCATTAGACGAAATCATGCCGCTTGGGCGCATACATACATCTCACATGATGGACTGTATCGAATGAAGCGTAGAGGCACCTACGGAGGCTTGGTAGGCGTTTACAACATCTGGTGGTTCGGGGAAGCTCGAGTGTATATTACCGCTCAGCCGGTTCTCCGGCATGTTGTAAAATGTGGTCGTTACAGCAAGCCGAAAACAGACTATCGGTGTTCGAGCATCATTGTCAATGCCATTTTGCAACAAACTAGTGAGGCAAATGAATAACCAACGTAGAGGTCTGATGCCCAGTTTAGGGTCGTTATGGTCATTCATCGGAGAATCTTCGGTTCGGTTCAGCTTTTACAGCCATTAACCATGCTCTTTCGTGCGCCGGTTTTAGTTACTGTCTTTTGGCGCCCCATTTGGATAGAACAGTAGAATGAGGATTGGAATGTTGAAAGCCAATTCAAGCAGAAAATGGAGAATTCATACAGAATAGTGATAAGGGACTAATGAGTGGATGCACGAGCGCCAGTGTTCGCGACACCCAGCCATATCCCTCAGTGTCTCTAACCATTGGTGACCATGATCTCAGGGTCCCCAGCCGGCGAGCCTAACAGGTCCTATGTGACCTAGTCTTCTGTTTAGGGTTTGCATACCATCATGCCGGGTCTCCGTTTGACCAACCTTCACCTGCTACCTACTTCGAAAAACATCGCTCGCCGTGACAAACTAGTTGATGGTTTGCGTAACATGTCCCAACCAATGTAATCTATGGAGATCGATCACTTGCTCCAGTGGACAACCGCGACTGCCTAAACCTCCACCCCTGGCCTCAGCATTGCTAGTCCGGTTACCCCACCATCGGAGAACGTGCTCAATAGCAACTGGTTCAAGTGGCCGTGACACATGGTACGCATGTCACGAGATAGGTTTTCTCAGGGCGCGATGTTTGTCAAGGTCGGTAGCGAGTGGAAGATAGTCAAGAATAGTTAAAATAACACTTGGCATGACGATATGAAAACCCAAACCAGGGAGCACAAGATGCCCTAAGTTTATCGGTTTAGTAGCCCCGGTACAGTCTAATGGATATCATGAAACACGGAGTGATATGATTGTGGCAGACAGCAACCACCGTGTATTATTTATTCTGTCGTGCATATTTATTTCATCCGAATTCC